TGCAAAAGAGGAAAAAACATCGTTGGAGTTACAGCCATGGGCCGAACGGTCATCGTTGGATTGGGGGAGGGGAAGGGGATAAAAGGTGATAGAAGAAAAAAATTGTGAAAAGAGAGAGGGAGGTTGTTTCGCCAAAGCCGACAAGCGGGGCGCGAGGAGCCACAGAAAGTGGCTGGCTTTCCTTTTATGCGTTGTTGATTCCCCTTCGACCTCGCCTTTTTTAAAGCCTCCCCACCTGCTTTTGTGTCTTCGTGTGGCTGTCAGCGAGCGCGACAGCCGCTTTAAAGGCCGCCGTACAGTTCGCGCTTTCCACTTTTTCTGCGTTTCCTCCTCTCCTGCCCTCCTTTCCTTCCTTCACCGCCCTCCCCCCCCCCCCCCCCCCCCCCCCCCTGTTTACCGCCCTCCCCCGAGGGGACAACATGGAGAATGGATTAGGAGACGCCTCCGTTAATCCGGCTTAACCCGCCGAAGAGGGGGCCTGCTGCTTGACTAAAAATTATTTCGCTCCTCAAAAAAAAAAAAAAAAAAAAAAAAAAAAAACGCCGCGGGCAGCGACCGTATGCGCTTTGTTGGATGCGCAACGCTCCGTCCGCCTTGAACAAGCTGGTATGCATTGGACTAACATTTTTTGAAGTGCGGCAGGTTTAGTGTAGGTCCTATCATATGGTCCTGAAAGACTTCCCTGTCCGCCACAAGCTAGCCAATAATTCAAGAACATAACGACGGCAGCGTAGTCAAACAGTGTACAATAAAATGTATATAATATTTCTAAGAACACCGTTGTCTTCACTGCTTGGCTTTCAAATTCTTAGCGCTGCCAATAATCGTAATCAAACTATTTTTATGACTGAAGACAACTCGTCGTGCATCGACCCCAAGATTACGCTTACGTGAAACATGATTCGGCGCGGGAGCGGCTCGAGTCACCGTAAACATCTTTTTTTTTTTTTTAACGTGGATTTTGCTTTTTTAATTTAGCTGAGGCACCACTGGCAGAACACGAATCGCATACTTGGAAGGTATATACCGTCTGAAAACTCATATAGCTGGTTCAGTGAATGCAATACTAGCGCATTCGTTGAAGCTTGATTTGTTGATTCGAACTTCAAATCACACGCACCCATTCTCCCTATTCCTGTTTACCCAGTCATAGTCGTTCCCTCACGATGCAATACGAGTACAAGTAACTGCAGTTTATGCATTGTTGACGTTAATTGGACAGCCATGATCACACGGTTTTTAGAAGCGCTATAGAACGAGCACAAGCGTCGAATTCCGGTACACTGATTTCTGTCTCACCGCCGTGACGCCATACGAGAAAAGCGATTTCGTTCTGTCTGTGAAATTAGGAACACAGAAATCAAGCTATAATCCCGGTAATAAAACAAAGCGAAATGGATCTCTGCAGCCAATACCCAACCGTTTGCGAGGTGACTAGGCGAAAGCATATATTACCTCCGTGCCTTTACCCTCTGCACACTGCCAGAGAGAGTCATACAAACTCCTTGGAGCTATTGTCAACACGATTGCGTTTGCAAGCCTCTAGTTTGACTCGGCTGGGATTCGTCCCTTTCATAGCTCTCTATGAAACGAGAAAGGTAGATACTTTTCTACATTGGGTGGGTTTGCCCGGGGCCTCCAGTTATTTACGGCCAAAATCACACTGGAGGCGCTTCAGCAATGTTCACTCTGGTCGACACACGTGCACACTAAAAATGCCAGTCGTCTGCCTTCCCAAAATGTACTTGAAGAGCCAATCATAGAGACCGACGGATAACGAGGCCGAAATTATGCTTATACCTCGAAAAAATTATAATACAAATTTGGCCTCGTCATTCCCAAACTGGTTGCCGGACGAAATTCTCTATGCGTATTGTAAGCCAGGGTTGGTAATAGTAACATAAGATACGTGCGGCAGAATTTCCTGCCATAAATAAAATGATTTGGCTAACGCTAATGTAACGCGAAATAGGTGCAAAGAGTTTTGCAAAAGGGAGCGTAAACCGAAAAAAAGAGAAAAAAAAAAGACAGAAGAAAAGGAGAAGTAATAGTAATAAAAAAAATCTCTGGCGACGTGGCCAAAAAAAAATTCTGTTCATGTGATTTTTATTGTCACGTGACCGAACAAAAAAAAAACAAACGAAATAAAGAAAGAACACGAGAAAAAATCATCCCCTGCCCGGTTTCGAAGCTAGGCTCTCTTGATCGTGAAACTAGCGCGCTATTCGTTGCGCCTAGTTGCGCCGACATAACTTTTTTTTTTCTTTATTGCAAGTTGCGCCAACATAACTCTGCATGTAATGCTCGCGCATTTTCACATCATAGGAGAAAGCTTAGGTGCCTTCGTAGTTTTTCATGTATGTGTTATTTTTATTTGTGGCAAGAGTTCACGTTCCAGAATGCTTTTAGAGTTTTGGAGCAAAACGAGTTTTCTTCATCCGAGTCACCTTCTAGAGCCAGTAGACCGCACTGGGTCGTCCGGCTAATCAAGCAGCTATTTTCAAATTCTCTGACGTGCCCGTCCTCGCATCCGAGGTCGCCGTTTGACGAGCTTATCTTCCACCTGGTAGCCGGAACCCCAACGGCAATGTTCCGTCCCCACTCCCTCTCGAGAGGATGGCCTCGCCCCGAGGCTAATCCCCTTCTCTAGACACCCTTTCCACCCAACGCTGGCCCTTTCCCTCCCCGTCTCCAGCTTCGGGAGAGAAGGTTCTTTTCTGCAGAACGTCCCGTTTGTAGCAAATCAAAAGGGTGAAGCGAAACGCGTGACCCAGCGTGACCTCTCTACGTAGGACGCGTAGGACAAAAACGTTTGGACGAAAATTTTTCACGTGACTTTCTCTGTCACGCTGATGGGATCTCTGGGGCTGTCGTTTTCGCCGTTTGCCTAGTTATAGAAACAAGCGGGCCACGTAGGTCCGGTTTTCGAACTGCTCTTCAGTGTTCTGTTGCTTTCGTGCGCTGCAGACGCGACTGTGTTTTTTCGTCGTAAACGGTCGGAATACGTCCATGCCAATTTTTCGGTAACAGCCATTTTTTTGCACCGGAGTTCGTGGAATACTTGTGATGTGTTTGTTGGACACGCTTCGACAAAAACTGCTCTTCGCCGACGACGAGACGTCAGTCCTCGAATCCTCGATTGTGTTTGTGGGGTGCCTGAGTTGGATTATGCATCTATCAAGGATTACAGGATATCGCTCTTTTATTAGTAAGTGCACTGCAAGCATGATTCTGATAGTCGTCCTGCTTTCCTCTCAATCTCCGCGGTTTTTATGTGATGAGTTTTGCTTGGCATGAGGACAGTGTTAATTGTATTTTATAATTTGCTTTTCGTTTTACAGAGAAGTGTGACCTCTGTAAATATGTTGAGAATACACTGTGTGCAATGATAGTTGTTTAATAAACTTCTGGGAGCGATCGAAAAAAATTTGTTTCTCCGTATACGTGATTGGATATGCAACAAATGACATGCAACGTACATATACTTGCACGACGTTCGGCCAATACGAAGCAGACGCATCGTAGAGTTTTCGCACAATATTGCGCGAACGCTAGGTCGGGGCGAAACAGCTGTACGGCAATACCCGCCGGGTATCAAACGGTGGTACAAAACTGGACAGTTGAGCGATATTGGAACCGACTTTCGGCCGGCACTGGCACGATACTGCAAAGTATTGCCGTGCTGCTTGGGAACGGAGGTGATGACATCTTACCATCGTGTTTCCAACGCTTGTTTAATTTATTTCTCTTCTGGGACGCGTGAAAGAGCACTTCTGTGACACACCAGAGATATTCGAAACTTGGGCTGGCCTCTCGGCTTTGTTTGTCACTTTTGGCACTTATTTGGCACTTCAGTGGGTAGCCAGAGAAAAGTCAAACTTCGGCATGCCCCGAATCGACAAATTAAGATTTACTGCGGCAGTTATGGCTCAAGTCTGGCACTTACTTTGGCGCTCCTCTGGCGGACCAGAGAAACGCCAAACCTTGGCACGTCCCAAATACCGAAATTAGGCGTTGCTCTGGCAGCTATGGCTGAAGTATGGCACCAACTTTGGCGCTCCTCTGGCGGACCCGAGAAAAACCAAACTTTGGCACGTCCCAAATACCGAAATTAGGCGTTACTCTGGCAGCTATGGCTGAAGTTTGGCACCAACTTTGGTGCTCCTCTGGCGGACCCGAGAAAAGCCAAACTTTGGCACGTCCCAAATACCGAAATTAGGCGTTACTCTGGCAGCTATGGCTGAAGTATGGCACCAACTTTGGCGCTCCTCTGGCGGACCAGAGAAACGCCAAACCTTGGCACGTCCCAAATACCGAAGTTAGGCGCTGCTCTGGCAGTTATGGCTCAAGTCTGGCACCAACTTTGGCGCTCCTCTGGCGGACCCGAGAAAAGCCAAACGTTGGCACGTCCCAAATACCGAAATTAGGCGTTACTCTGGCAGCTATGGCTGAAGTATAGCACCAACTTTGGCGCTCCTCTGGCGGACCAGAGAAACGCCAAATCTTGGCACGTCCCAAATACCGAAATTAGGCATTGCTCTGGCAGTTATGGCTGAAGTATGGCACCAACTTTGGCGCTCCTCTGGCGGACCAGAGAAACGCCAAACCTTGGCATGCCTCGCATTCCCAGATTAGGATTTACTATGGCAGTTATGGCTCAAGTATGGCACCAACTTTGGCACTCCTCTGGCGTACCAGAGAAGAGCCAAAATTTGGCATGCCCTAGGATCGCCCAACTAAGGCTATAGTTAGGCACCGTACTTTGGCACTGATGAGTGCCATGGTGCAAAAATCTAACTGCGCCAAAGTTGGGCCCTTATGTTTGCCAGACCTCTGCCCAAGTTGGGCATTCCTCTGGCGTGCTACCTGGGCAGGTAATGGGCACTCCCGCTACCGGCGCAATTGGCGGAAATTCAGCGTCAAAATGTGCCCTGATTGTTGTACCCTTTCCATTTCGAGCGTTAAGTCTGGCCGTCTTACCTGTGTCCCCATGGCCGCAGATGTGCAGCGGAAACGCGTGGCTCGTTCCCCAGGAAGACAGCACAGTGTTATCAACGTCCCGACACAAAGCGCGTAACTGGATCTCCTACGACAGCGAGTTCGCAATTAAGGAAAAGGCAAGTGCATCACAATGTGTCCGTTTGGCTGGATATTCGATCGCGTAATGCACGCCGGTTAACCTGAGAAAAATTTATTCACGGGAAACTGTCAAAATGTTTTCGATACGCACCAACTCCTTATAAGGTCAAAGTTTGGATTTCAAAAACATCGTTCAGCAGGACTTGCACCACATGTAAAAATATATTTTCCATAATCTAGAAAATATTAAAGTGATCTGAGCGTCTTAGCAATTTTCATGTATGTTACAAAAACTCGTACATACATAAACCACACATTTTGCTACAGAAACTAGAACTCTATGGTGTGGCTTATACCTACTGAAACCTTATCTAGGAAGTCGGAGGCAGAATGTGTGCTGCAATCGTTTTTATTCAAACAATAAATCCTATATCATCTGGTGTACCAAAAGTAAGCATTTTATGTCGATTTCGTTTTAATGTCTATTAAAATAAAACCGTAAATATTCATAAAAAAACCAAACGTATATCATGAGCTTAAGATACAACACTTGTTTCTGCTGGTGACGTTAGATGGAGAGAAACACTTTAAGAATAAACACGAGCAAAACCAACGCTTCAATTTCACTACCAAAAATAATAATGTTCGTTTAATAATTACTACATCTTTAAATTCAGTTAATATTGTACTAGTTCATAGTTTCAAGACACTGGAAGTTGTGGTTTCTCACAACATGTCCTATACCGATCTCATTAAGTCATGAAATAAAAACAAAAATCGCAAAAACTGTAGAACTGGTATACGCGCATCGATATATACATATATATATACTTCCTACCTCAATAACAAGTATACCGTCTAAGTCATTATTTCATTCTTGCTGAAATAATTTTCCGTCAGTCCGGGTACCAACCACGGTGACGAACCTCAAGAAAGTGTACCTAATTCAGAAGAATGTGCTGCGCATAATAGACCCGTTTTAAAAGTCCAATCACGTGCTTCGTGCCCAAGTAATGGCGACCGCCAATGTTGCTCGATGGACATTTGAAAAGGGGTCTATGGCAAATGCACCGTATCTGTCTTGTACAGAAAACCCGTTTAAAAGTTATAATGCACTCAAATGCGTAGCCTTTACAATGGCAGGCTATTCATAAGCCATAAAACAGAACAGCAATGTAATATTCGAACTTATGAAGGCTCTGATGGGACTGGGTAGTCTACAGCGACATCTCGTAACTTACGAAACTAGGAACCCCGACTATAGACCGACACGCTGTTTACAAACAAGCTGGTCGTTTGCCCATCTGGTGTAGGCCCTGCGCGTGCGCAGAAACCGAATTCGCGTGAAGTGAAGCGTCTGCGCATGCGCAGTGCCGTCGACAGCGCCAGCGCAGCTGTGTAACGTCAGGGCCGCGTGTTCTTCTATAGCTATGCAACTAGTGAAGTTTCCATTGAACCCCAGTAAAAAGATGTTGGTTTATCAAATCTCAAGACTTCTAAACTCTTTGCATTATCATGATATTTGAATGGACACCATAAATCTTCGGGGGTCAAGAACGTTATGCGCGCATTTTCGCTTAAAACCAAATGCTTCGATAATTGAACCGCATTGCGTCGATTGTTTGTATAGATCGTTTCGCCTTAAGACCAGACGCAGCCGGCACTACGTGCTGATCGGACCGATCGGGCAGCGTCAAGGCGCACCAAATAGTGCGTGCGCTGGCTCATCCAATTGAATGTCGGCCCTGTGTCACGTGGTTTTCAGCTTTCTCTACTCACGGCGGCGTTCGCTTTCAGTCACGTGGTGGAAGGGTGCGCATGGTGTTGGTCATGTTTATTTACGTGTTCTATCATTGCTGGACCAATCATGTACAGAGAAAACCTTGTGAATTGCGCTTTTGGCGCTGGTGGAGGAGTACCATTTGCTCGTAGCGTTGACTACGTCTGGACTTAATAACCCTTAACGAAGTGTAGTGCGGATGCTTGTTACTTACTTTTTATTTATTTTTTCTTCGTTTTTGCGTGATTTGAGTGATTAGTTTTGTATGTGCACTTCCCATTACCTTTGCTGCGCTGCTGCTGGGAAACATATGATGGCCGAGATCTCGCCAAGCCGTTTATCTCGGCTTTTTTCCAGCTTCCCACCATTTATTGGAAGTGGGAATAAATCATAGTATTAAAACGTTTAGTCGATTATCGCAACACGTAAGCGATACACGCATTGCAGAACGCTAAGGCTTTACTGGACAATATAGCCTCGGTTACGAAGAAGGGGTGCGAAAGTTTAATCCTATTAACGATATCAAGTTCATACGCTCGAAACTATTTCGGGAACCTAAACAAAAGGTCTCCGCCCTTCGTCGGTAACTGTCGTAAGCCCGCTATAGTAAGCTATTGGTTAGACCCGCAGAAGGTTTTCATGCAGAGTCGCCGTGGCGCAGAAAGGAGCGGGACCAATGGCTTCCACGATATGTCAGAAAAGGGTCTGTCTCGATGGAATTTTCCACTGACAGATCCGCTTGCACTACAATTCGCCTTCCTCTGCGCTTGCGCAGGTGATGTAGCGTCTGTCGGCTCAGGCTCTCGGCGTTCATCGTTACAGTAGCGTCACTTTTGCTCACGCTATTTCTTCATTTTTTTTTTGTGTGTTTTTTTTTTTTTTCTATCGCGTGCTGGCAGCAGCGGGTACTACGGTAAGTGACGCCAATCGAATAAGAAGGACGTTAATGTAATTCTTGGTTGATTTCCACCAGGAGTTCTCAAACTTTTGAATGTCGGGGGGCGCCCATCTGCCTCAAATCAACATACGTACTACATCTTACAAACTCTTCCCAAACTTCTCCTTATCTTCTTAGCGTTGTTGCAAAAAAAAAAAAGAAGAAAAAAAGAAATGTAGTGTGAACATTATTTCGCACACTATACAGGAAGTATTTTGATTATAGCTGGGCATAAATGCATGGCTCAGATATGCTGTAAATGCTGTTTAAAGTGGAAAAGCACGTTACCTTAGAGGTACCGTGCTTAGAGGTAAGCACGCACGATTGAGAGAATGGACTGCAATATATAGTGACTGAGTCTGACAAGTTTACAAACGCATGACGGGGCTTATTATAATCAAGCGCCCTGCATAGGAATTCGTTCCTCAGTGTTTTTTATCGGTGAATACCGTAACCTTCTTGACTGCAGAGTGATCATAATGTGCTCGCAATTTTCCACGCCCTGCATGCGCTTCTTAAGCTGTCGGCGACTATTGGGTGGGAGCTGCAACCGACCTCTAAGGCTAAAGGCCTGTCGCACACTTGCGACCAAGTAGGACCGAGAAAGACAAGACCGGTTTTTAAGCCTCTTGCGACGGTGTTGGACCGGATGCGCTGCTGCAGAGCAGGTCCTCAGCCGTCGCAAGAGGCTTAAAAACCAGCCTTGTCTCAGCCACTCCTACTCGGTTTTGAGTGTGTGAACGCGCCTTAAGTTGAGAACGAAGCCGATGGGAACAACAACAACCATCGTGAATCATTTCCTTACGTTTTAACGCACCGCTTGGCCGACGTAGCCGAAACGCTGCGTCAGTTCTCTACTGGGGCACGTGTTCAATCGGTGAAGCAGCAACTCAGCACGAGCTCCAGCCGAACGCTGACGCGGCACTCGTGGCCCGCACCTGCACCCCGCACTCGATCGAGAACGATGACTTAAAGAATCCACTCCACACGGGCCTTGTGCTGAGTAAACACCAAGCTCTGTGGAAAACTAGCTATTTGTTCGATCTCCTCGCCCATGGGGGGCCGGTCTGAGAACCCACGATCTAGTATGTAGCGTTGCTTTAACTTTCCGGAAGCGCGGACCTCCGATGCCGTCGTTTGTCGAGTCGACGTCTTGTCCGCTTGCCGCCTGCCGCACAGGTGAACCGTGCCATGGAACTGTTGCACGGGGTGTGCGTGGCCGCGTACAACGTGGACCAGGACGACAACGAGGCCCACTGCGACGGCGTCACCCGCTTCCCCAGGCTACAGGCCATCCGGGACGTGCAGAGTACGTGCACACATCGACTCGTGGTCCGGACGTCACACCCCAAGGCGATGGCGCAACGCTCCGCACTTTCGGCAAACGCGTTCGTGCTCATGCGCAGTGTCAACAATGTATCCGCGTGCTTTGAAGCACGTGGGTAGAGTGCGCTAAACTTAGTTGAAAGGTTGCGAATACCACGTTAACGAGTATGTGTACAAAACGACAGCGAGCTATAGATGATGCAGGTGGCCTATGCTACCTGCTTCATCTATCCTTGTAAATCAGACATTCGTTCGATTGTAAAAATCAAAGGGGGCAGAGATGGTGCAAGAAGACGTTTACTACACTTATATCGCATTTTTCTTAACCTCTAACTAGAGTACGAAAGATTGTCATCGCGCATAGCGTCGTTTTTTTTTTTTGTTTTTTTTTATTGTATGTTTACCTGTTTATCGCTATGTAGAAAAAAATTGTGAGCAGCAGGAGAGCCTTTATTTTGGATGTTTCGAGCAGAGCCTGCTCTTTTTCAAGTGTAGGAAACAGGAAATACATGTTGCAGAAGGTTTGGGTCCGAGATCGAGAGAAAGAAGGAAAGCAGTAAGAAAGAAGTCAATTCCAGAAACATACTCACAGACAAGGGGCGACGTTTCCAACAACACACAGACACACGAAGATAAAAAAAACAAAAACAGTCATGGCAGCCTCGAGGTAAACCCAGAAATATAGTAAAAAGGCGGTGTTCCCCCTATGCCCAAGCTGCCCCCCCCCCCCCCCCCCCCCCAAAAAAAAAAGAATAAATAAACAGAAATAGCAAGTATATAATCAAAACTACGTGCGTCGACAAAAAAAAAAAACATGTATACATTCTAAAAAAAAACTGTGCATCTATTTACCCGCAAAACACTCGGAGAGATTAACACCGCAACTTACGGGGGCAGCTCAGCGAGTGACGATGCCGAAACCAATGTTTCGACCAAAAAACGAAGTCTGAGTTGTGACATTAAGCAATGCAAGCGCGATGTTTTGCATTGCTTAATGTCACAACTCAGACTGCGTTTTTTGGTCTAAACATATGTTTCGGCATCGTCATTCGCTGAGCTGCCTCCAGAAATTGCAGCGATTGGCTCTCCGAGCGCTGTGCGAAAAAGTAGGCGCACAGGTAGATGCACAGGTGATATATAGTGTAAGATAAGTGAAGTGAAGGACGAGCGCCAGAGACGAGACGACGGAGGAAATGAGGGCCGTAAACCACCTTCTCAGCGTGTCCAGTTACGATATTAGTTACGATAACCGAACAGCAATATATTGGATTACACAAACCAAACACTACCTTTTTTAAGACTTCACAATATCTCATAGGAATCTCGCAACACGGCCCGCACCCTCCACCCACCAAAACAATTTTTTTTTTTATTGCAAAAATAAATTAGGCCTTCCGGACGCTCATTATTCTCCCAAATGTAGTGCGAGCGGTTCGAACCAAATGCCAAAGTGTGGACATGAACTGTTATTTTATTCAAACGTTTATACGTCATTTTCTGAAATTTTCAAGGGAAAAATGGCGGCCGACAGAGGTCTTGAATACATGGAGCTCTATGGCGCCAGTTACCGAAAAGGGGCAAAAGTGAGCCCATTTTGCATTTGAAATTTTCAGAAAATCACATAACTTTTGGGTAAGAATTGTAATACTCCATGTTACTAGTTGCGTGCAGCACAGGCGAAGGCAACGCCAGGCGAGAGGAGAAAAAGCAAGCACTAGGAAGGCTGAGGAGGAGGAGATAAACCTCGTCTCATCTCTAACGTTCCTGGTGCTCTCGCTTCCTCCCCTCGCCCTCCACTGCCCTCCTTTCCCGTCCCACCTTCCTATAGTGTTCGCATTTTCTCTCCGCCTGGCGTTGCCTTCGCCTGCAGTGCACACAACTAGTGATACGGAGTATAGTTGTGAAACTTCGGCATCTGGTTCAAACCTCTAGCGCTACCTTTGGCCGGAAAATGAGCGTTGGGCAACGCGTAGTTTATATTTGCGATAAAAAAGTGTGTATATATATGCGTGCGTGCGTGCGTGCGTGCATGTGTGTGTGTGTGCGTGCGTGTGTGTGTCTGTGTTAGCACTAAAACGCGATCGCAAGGTCTTCGTAATTTATTTTCCCTCTCTGATCACTTTTCTATTCTTTTTTTACACAAGGAAGGTTGTTATGAAACATTTTAGAATTTCTAAGTAAAATGTCAAGTTTGGTGCTAAACTTAAAATCGGAAAAGCTCCAATTGTCGTATTCGCACTAACTGTGTCATGCAGTTTACTTTAAAGCGTAAAGATGAGAGGATGACTACCTATATTTGCAACTTGGTAAGAAAATAGAAAGGGAAAACGTGGAGGATATAAGAGACGGGCAAAACCGCGCGGGCAGGTTTTCGCACGGCCAGCCATGGTCCTATTGCGCGACTGGTAACTTCACGCCGCATTCACACTGGCCACTCAACCGCATCCGCAAAGCGTTTGCGAACGCGCGGTGGCTTGAAGGTGGAGTACAAATTCACGCGTAGTTGATGATGAAAACGAGCGGACCCGCTTCGCGGTTGCGATTCCAACGCCAGGGTGAATGCAGCCTTTGCGCTTCACCGTTCATCCCACGCGCCCCAGGTCTTTCTAAAATTTTCTGATTTTAGGGTTTTCAATTACGATCCGCAAGTTTATAACTGGAATTGCATAGGTTTATTTTAACTAATAAAAGCGGTATTTACCAAGAATGTGGTTAATTAATGGGCTTATGGTGACAATTAGTCCCCTTATATAATGTGCACCTGGTCGTATATAACACATATGCAAAGACAGGGTTAGTATAACTTTCTCGGTTTTTTTTACGTATAACCCCATCTTTTTTGCGCTTGGAAGGGGGAGCAAAGTTTAAAGATTGATATCACAAAAACTTGGTCACGCAAGTGACGTTACATTGATAACACCGGAGCGCCGACCGACTTGCATCGCCGTACCCCCTGACGGCGCGCTGTGCCTGTTGGCGAGAACCGCGCAGTGCGCACGCGCTTTCCTTTTAATGCGACAGCATTCTTTAGCTAGCCGCCCCAAGTTTCTCTAACCCTCTGGCCTCCTAATGCGCAGCAGGTGTGCGCAGTAAGCCATTTCAGCTCACATAATCACACTTTTTCCCGTTAGCACCCTCCTCGTAGGACCTGACGACCTTGACGTTGTCCTAGAGGTCGCCCATGAGGTCATCCTAGAGGTCGTGCTAGACGTCGTCCTAAATGTTTTATTTGACGTCGCCCTCGAGGACATCGTGCTAGAGGTTAAAGCAAGTAGGCAGGCGAGCTAGTTAAGGATAGACATGGTAACCCTAGAGCGAGGGGTTACATGCATGTCGTTACTGCTTTGTCCCCTCTCTCCAGGGTTATCATGTCTGTCCGAGAGGTCGTCCTTGATGTCGTCCTAGAGGTCATCCTAGGTTTCGTCGTAGACGTCGTCTTTGACGTCGTCCTTGATGTCGTCCTCGAGGACGTTGTCCTCGACGTCATTAATTAGACGTCGTCCTTGAGGGTGTCATTCCTTTGCACACTTCAACGCGACGCACTCCTGTTTGATTGAAAAGGCGATAGACGCCGCTCCGTCAGCCGTGATTCCACAATCTTTGCTCATCGCTCTGGACAGTGGCCGAGCGACCGAGCTCGCGTCCTCTGCGGCACGGGCAGTTCACGCGATTCTCAAGCACCACTCGGCGAAGCGTTAAAGACCCCCCCCCCCCCCCCCCTCTCATTTCTTGAGTCAACGACACGCAGTTCTTCTGAAATTTATGCAGCATAATACCAATGCACCGACATTTTTTTGTTTAATGTCTGTAAAGCTAAAATACACCGGATAGCCTTTTGTTTTTTGCTGAATGCTGTTTTTTGCAGAGAATCACGTCGACCGAGAGTTCTACGGAGTCAAGAGAAAGAAGGGTGAGGCGATGCCTTTTTCTGTTTGTTTGTTTTTTCAAATGAGAAGCTATTGTGTGCCCTATTCGCACAATTACCCGCGCTTGCCTAATCTTTACTTCACCTAACTGCGATGCACGCAATATTATTTTTTCCAGCTATTCCAACCTCGTCCGATCGCGAACACGCCAAGTTATCGCCACGTGAGTCCAACACGAGCGTCCTCACACCTGTCGATTGGCCTGCACCTTTTTACAGATGCGCCGGTCGCTTCGTATATGCGCTGCCGCTTTGGCAGCCTTCTATAATTCGTCTCACCCTTCGAGGAACGGCCAAGGATTTGGGTTGTCAGGCTCAATCACCAGCTAGTTAAAAACCACGTGGTATATTTCTCTGACGTTGGCATTTTCAGTGCAATATTCCACGTATCCTTTTTTTTTTTTTTTTTCAGCCAACTGAGGATTGGTCTTGATGTCTCTAGGTCGTAGGTGAAATAAAGTAGACAGACACGAGCGCGCCCTTACTTCTCCTTCCTCTATAATCTATATAGCGGAGGATGCAGTCCTGAGAAGCAGCAATATTTTTATTCTAATGTTTCCTTTGAGCTTGCTTCTACAACGACGGGGCCTATCCCCTAACGCGGGGCATTTTCACAATTTTGAGGACGCGATGCTTGTTTTGACGGCTAGCCCTTGATAGTGTTCTCTGCAATATTTCTCGCTAACTCAATCAGTGGCATGTAAAAAAAAAAAAAGAAGGCAGGGCGTATTGAGTCTTGTGCATCTCATTATCACTCCGCAGTCAATAAGATCGCGACATTAGCCAATAAAAACGTCGAAGGACCAATCTTGAAGCCAGAATCATAAGTCACTCCCTGCGTTTCTTAAGCTTTTAGCGACTAGAAGTTACAAAAAAGCGTTTTCCCTCTACACATACCCATTGGAGCGTTATGCCGATTTATACCTTCTTGTTTCTTACGATTGGCACTCTTAGCGAGTGCTACCCAATGCAGAAACCACTTAGAGTGGAGCACATTGCGCTGCGTGTTTTGTCGCTTAGGCGCTATGTTTTCGAGCTTACACGCCAGGCGGTCAGAACCATCAGAAAGTGATTACTGAACATGGCATTTGCAATCGAGTGCTCCAAGTGAATGCTGACATAAATTGACCGCCGTGCGGGACGTGCAGCGTCAGCGGTGCTCATCTGCATCGTGGGAGAGTTAACCTCGGAGCAGGACCGCTACCCAACCGATCATTGTACGCACATCATCTACAAGGACATGGTCTTCTTCGGCGAGCACAAGTCTTTTCGGCCTAAGGAGAAAGGTGAGTCCGCCAAGTTTAGGGAACTCGTGAAGGAGACCATCAAACGTAACAATACTCCGCTTCATTTTTAAGCTCGCTCGGCTCGTATTAACAAGCACGTGTAGCTGCTACGCACCAGCCGGCACATAACTTTTCTCCGCTTATGGAATGTCCCAGACCTATGCACCAATTGAATTCTCCGCCAAATTTAGCGAAAAAACTGAGTTGGTGTGTAGGTCTGTGATGTCCCATAATGCGACACTGCGCATTCAGTTTCCCCGCTAAATTTAGCTGCAAGGCTGACGTCTCATGACTTCAAGACCAATTCAGTTTCCCCGCTAAATTTAGCGCTGAATTAAATTGGTGTTCAGGTCACGTGATGTCAGTTTTGCCGCTGAATTTAGCGTGGAACCGACTTTGTGTATAAGTTACGTGACATGAAGTTATGTTACGCCGTTTTTTCCACTAAATTTAGCGGGGAAACTGAATTGGCGTTGAGGTAATGTGGCGTCTATTTTCCAGCTAAATTTAGCGGGAAAACTGTAAAGTCACAGGCCACGGCTTCACGAGATGCGGCTTCACGAAGTCCGGGGCAACTACAATCCGTTGCAACTCAAGGAGGCAGGGCGAGGGAAAGGAAGGCCGGGGAGGTGGAAGCAGACGGAACGCTAAAGAGGGAAGGAGGTTTCTCCTCTCTCCTTCTTTAGCGTTTTGTCTGCTTCCTCCTCCCCGGCCTTCCTTTTCCTCGCCCTATGCTCTTGACTTGCAACGTACTACTGCCAAAAACCTTTCACGTTTAAGCAAACACCGCGCGTGTTGCATTATGGGGCTCCCACCGTACCCTCCTCGTCCTCCCCGGTCTACCCCCAGGCAAAACAAATAAAAACAAATATACGTCACATTCTTTACCACTGTATATAACAAATCAACATACCTCAAGAGCTGCGCTCTAATTTCGCATTACAGAGAAGCGTAAAGCTCTCTAATTGTTTTTGTACTCTTCCTTTTTTTATTGTTTCTTTGGAAAGTGAAAGTTGAATTGCTTCATTGGTTGATTAAGTGATAGATTGATTGGCATGGAACCAGAAAAATTATTTCTTTTTGTGACTGCCTCCAGAGCACGGTTTCCGGGCGTTCAAGCAGCTGGGTGCCCAGAGCAAAGCGCAGCTGCTGATAGCGCTGGATCCTCAGGAAGTGGCCGACTTCTACATGCCGCTCTGGCGGAACCCCAAGAAGCTGGGCCACTTCACTCGGAGTGCTGCAGAATGGCTGAACACGTATGGTTTTGACGGCATCGCAATTCTGGATCAGAACGCCGCTTCGATCGCCGACGTCAAGAGGTTCCTCCCAGTTGTCAAGGTGCGGGTGGATCCTTGTCACTAGAACGTTTAGTTGTGCGGCTGCTCGCTGAAGGATACAAAAATGGTTGCAATATTTTGTCATTTGCGGTCGAAGATATCGAAAAGGTGGCGTAGTCGAAGCTATACGGCGAGCGAGTGTTCTAAAATGCGCGTCTTTGGATGATCGGAACGCAAAGAGAGGAACGCCAGTCAAAGGGCAACATAGGGAACGCGAAGATAACGCAAGATGACGAGACTGCCAAGCTCGCGACGTCATTGGTCGAGGTCGGGGGTAAACAAACGCACGAGGTGCGCAAGTATAGACACACTTGCACGCCGTATAGTGCACTTACAGATTAAGAAAGTCAGGGCGTGGCGAGCATCTCATTACCGCTCCCCAGCCAATGAGATTGCGGCGTTCGCCGAGAAGAACGCTGAACGACCAATCACGAGGCGTGGAGCATCAACATTTTTATTTTTTTTTCTAAGCTGCTAGGGACGGTTGTGGGAAGAACTGTAAGAGGAACCTTCTTTAAGCTTCAGGGTGGCTGCCAATGTTTCGCTAAAATCCCTATCTATTAGTTAGTCGAGGCGCCGGAGCCTCATTGAGCAGTTTTGGCAGATGGCGCTTTCATAGAACAATATTGGTAACGAGGGCTCGAGCTTTTACTTTGAACGCCAGCCCGGGCAGTTTAAAAATGGTATCTTAAAACTGCCGATGGGTCACAGGAATATTCGAAACAAATAAGAGGGAAAAAAACTGGAAAAAAGGTTTTAGATCCTCACAGCGTTAGACGACGCTTCTATAAATTACGTAGCATCTTTGAAACACCAGCTCATAACTCGGCTATACCGCTCTGAAATGTCCAAGTAATTATTTTCCAACTTCGTCTCAAATTCAATAACTTTCGTCTCTTTTATTATTTTTATGGACATGTTGTTTTTTAGCGAAACGTCGGGCATTATACGTGTAAATCTAGAAAGGTTATATTTCAGCTTAAAGAACGCCGAGCGTAGCTCATTGTGTTCACGCTTTTTGTTCCATGACTTTTTTTGGGGGCGTTTTAAGCAGCTAATGCCGCAGGCTCCTTCGCTGCAGAGTCATAACGAGATGCTCGTGACTCGTCTCGCCCCGTATTTTTTAAACTGTCAGTGGAAACAACAACTTTGACCGTCTTCGTGAGTTTTCTGAAGAAACAACCAAAGGTATAATTTAAACTGGGTCATTACCAAAGGCAAGCTTAAGGACGGCAATCCGAAAATCGTTCTCTTGATTCGTTGCCCTTTGCAGAGGATCTTCGACGTGTTTGACAGACAAGACCGGAAGCTTAGCATTGTGCTGGGCTTGAATCTCGAAGAGCACACCAACACACCTGAGAACGTTGCGGAAGCGTTCGAGGACATTGCCACGTTAGTTGCGCCTCGGTCAAGTTGTGTCGCGTACACCTTTGCTTGAAGAGCTCCACTCTACGCAGGTACGTGGACTACCTGATCATCCAGACCCACCACATGCGGTCGACGCCTTGCAATGTGTCGCTCACGTCGGCGTTCCTGGAGCACGAGGCGCTCAGCTCGACGGTACCTGTGGTACGTCAAAGACCGCGCACCTTGACGTCCTGAAGTGTGAAGCCCACGAGCCCATATGTGTAGAACGTTGTGACTTGATTGTAGATTTGGTATCAGTTGGCGTCGAAGGCAGACGCCACAAAATTGCATTCACAGTAAAAGAATACTCCATCCGAAAATTACATTTTAACGCGATAACGTTTAGGAGCTTGTGTTGCAGAAATCCGGCGTCGGCGGGACCAATAAATCCCATAACGCAACGCGCGCAGCCAGGTCTGCCGCACGTGACGTCACCTGTGGCTGTAGACATTGCGTTATAGAATTTACCAGCTAAATTTGGCGGGAACATTTTTCCGCCAAGTTTAGCGGAAAATTTCCCGCTAAATTCAGCGAAAATGTTTTCCGACAAATTTTGCGGTAAAGTTTCCCTTCAAAATTTGCCGGAAACTTTTCCCGCTAAATTTAGCGGGTCGATAAGGTCATAACGTCACAGCCATGTGTCACGTCACGTGACACGTGACGCTACTGACTAGGCCACGCACACATGCTTGCACGGCTTGACAACAAGCACGCGTTTATATGAGCAGGCTTTGCGAACGGGACCCGTTAACGCTATCGCGTTCCACTTTTAAGGGTGAAACTTCAGCGTCCTCCAAGTTTTTTTTTTTCTCCTGGCTAGCAGTGCTACTCTATTGTCTAAATTCTTAATCTACAGTGGAGGCACTAAACACCCATGGAGGCTGTCTGACTTTCCTCTGCCTGAACATACACGGAACATACATGAAACACACAATCCCATTGAAGTTTATAGAGTGCGTGTCATGATATCTTTCTTTTTGGCGGGGTCACGTCCGCGCAGCGCACGGCGATCTCCTGGATGCGCATCTTGCACGTGGAGAACGAGACAAATGTCAAGCTGTGCTTCTCCCTCAACATGGCCACGGTCACCTTCAAGACCAAGGACAGCGGGGACGGCACCGTCTGCAAGAGCGAGCGCTGGTCCAACTACAGAGACGTAAGTCACACGCTTTTTTTTTTTTGCGTAATGTTTAAGAGGAATCAACAGCACGCAAGTTTGGCGTCGAAGCAGCTTCTAGTCATGACGGGTTACGTGACACCAGCGCGACATGCGCCTCAGTTGCGGACTTTTTGTTCATCACGGATAAGCAGCGGCAGGCGCTAATGAGGGCCTGGAAGGATCGCTCGTGGCACGTCATCTTCCTCAGCAACCTTCACTCTGGTTTCTGTTTGACTTCGCTTGTTTCTTTCTCAAAACAACACACACAACTACGAATGCAAAAAATTACTTGTGTGCTCTCATTACACCATGTATTTCAACGCTTCATTTTTTTTTTAAGGGGAAAGGGGTTTCCAGATTCTGTTTAAGCTCATCTAAACTTTGTCCTCATCTGGCCAATAGATGGGAAAGTGATGCCTCCATTCTTGCAGTCGTGTTTGACAGCCGAGGGTTTCAAGGATCCCGTGAAGGTGCAGGGCTCCCTCAGCTTGTACCGATCCTCCAAGAACTCTTGGCAGACCTTCGAGAACGAAGACACTGTCCGCGAAAAGGTAAGAAGCGCCCATTCGACAATGTTGCCAGGAAGGTTAATGGCATCGAGGTCCCAAGAGAGTGCTTATGGCTCAGTCATATAATTTGAGGAGACCACTCTGGAAAACTTTCTGCGTTGATAATTCGCATAAACAAGAGGAGCACAGGATATATGATGCGCGCATTAGGAGTGCCTCATGATTTCTTATGCTTGGTTACGGGGAGCTTTTCTTGATTTCGAATGAGTTGCACGCACAACACGATTGTGTTCTCCTCATGTTGATCAAAATGATCGAGAGAGTTAAAGTTTTTACGCAGTGGTGTATGTGAGAAGTATGTTTTAATTGGAAGTTTCTTTGGGCTCTGGTCTTTCCGAGAGTGCATGTCGCGCTTAGAGTTATTCGTTTTCTGATTGTGAGGTGGTGCAGCTGTGGTAATTTTAGGGGAAACTGAAGTGGTAACTGAAGTAGTTTTGTAAAGGTTTGTAAATCATGTGCAACGATTGCGTTCAAAACGACAGAAACGACCGGAAGACTGGAACAACCGTGACTCATGATTGCTTCGCGAAGCTATTTTTTGCATTGCCTGCCACATTATTTATGGCGAATACTTGTCCCGGTGACTTTGTTGTTGCTGCGAACGCAAGTGGCACAAATGCGTGATCCAGCCTAAATTTATGATGCCGAAGTGATCTATACCGTATCTCGTGAAGACCACGCATACAATCCCTGATCGTGGACATGCCGGGTTTAGTTTCGCATGACGAGCTCAAAGCGCTCGTACATTAACTTTGGAACCCAAGAGTTCTTGGGTTACCAGCCGTCGACGTTGAGGTAACTGCACAATATTATGCGAATCTCGTGGTTCCCGGGAAGCTGCGGCAGCACCCGTATCCAATCAAAGCCCTGCGCTAGCCTGCGGTCGGTGACGTCAAAAATCCAGCTTTGCGGTCTTGTTCTCTAAGAGGTGTTGACTTTGAACATAGCATAAGCCCTGAGACTGCGGGTAAAAACGACACGAATACTAAAGGGTCTCGAACACAGCTGAATATTTTAATTTTCGAAAAGTGCATAAATAGCCACCTTGACAAAAGAAATTTGAGAGGGAGAAGCCAATACACCTTCTTTCCATAAGTAAACAATAAAATTCACCGACCCACCAGTTACGCGAAAGGACGTCGCATAGCCCATCCCCTCTTCCTCTGAACCTTCGCTAGCTGAACACAATCGCTTTGCTTGCTTTTCCAAGTCACGCACATGCGTGTGCTTGGCTGTGGAGATCGCATGCTGAGCTGTATATTTGTAAACATTAGAATGGGGAAGATGTGTCGTTAGTCTAGTTTGCGGGCAGGCTATGTCAGCGCCACCCGCCCCGATTATATGACGCAGGACGTCCACTTTAAAACCAATGGTTGCAGCGCCACCATTGAGTTCTGAAACGCAGCTTTAGAGTTTCAGTATGACGACAGCAAAGACAGCAGCACTGACTATGACGACAGGAAAGAATTTCTCATCGACAGAAATAAGAGTAATGTAAGAACTTCGTTTTTGACGGTGTTAGTAGCGTTGGTTTTAGAGTGCAACGATTTCAAGCTTCCACCATGCTCATTACAAATACCATCGAACCTGTTGTTTGCGAGGTGATGACGTCAAGAGAGGGAACCATAGGAGGGCGCCACCAAAACATCTTGCCGCTAATAGACGATTGCCAGCGGGGAGCCTCGACTGGTGCTCCATGCGCGCAAGCACGTGCAGCGTGCACGTGAACATGGTTTTGCCAAGCTTGCAGTTGCACGGGCTTGCCCGTACGATATGGCGGCGGCCAGTCGCCCCGCTTGCAGTCGTCTACGATTGCTAAGTGAACTAAGGAACTAAGCTGAGCAAAAGCCATGGCAACAGCTCACGGTTGCCACACTTGGTGTCGACGGCTCGAGAACGCCACTAGAGCATGGACTGTAGTAGCGCAGGTTTCGCATTGGTACGCTCACGCGCACGCTTCACGTGCTTTCGCACATGCATAGGGCACCAGTCTCGGTGCCATGCTTGTAATGCGCCGAGTTAGGGAGGGAGAGGAGGACATGAGAGGCACGTCAGCACGTCGATCTCTGGTTGGAACGATTAATGGGTAGACCTTAAGCTCGCAGCCTTTCTCTCCACTGCACTCGTCGAACGCGTTAGAACCCGGAACGCCGGCGTCCGACGTTTGGCTCTCGGATCCGAACGCGTTCGACGGGTGCAGCGGAGACAAAAGTGACTAGCTTTACGTTTACCCACCAGTGTTGCAGACGTTAACGAAATAAAAGTAAAGAAATACGTTACTCGTTACTTGCAAAATAAAGAAACGCGCTACCGACATCAAAATAAAAGGAAAGCGTATCCTTTACTGATAAAAAGTAACGCACGTTACTTTTCCGTTACATTTAATTTATAAAAGAACGATAACAGCGTTTTATTTTTTTATATTTTTTGCGACAGTATTTTTGACACTGCAAAAAGGGGCGTGGGCGTTGCAGTATTTTGCTGAAGTAAGACCTTTTGCGTGGACAAATGACCGGTAAAATTGAAGGTATGTGGAATGACTGAAACAATTAATGACAAGGAGCCTAGACATCGCTTTACAGTAAGTCTAGACGCAGACGCTACGAGCTAATGGGACCAACCAAGCAGCGTCAAAAGCGCAACTCACGGGACCCTTTTTTGTTCACGAAGGATTCAGCGATGATAGAAATCACGTACAGAAACATGAGGAGCACCATGGTGATGACCTTTTGGCGATGTCCGATTGGTTCCATCAGCTCGTAGCGTCGACTGCTTTTGGGGTTAAGGTAAGACGATGTATAGAAACAGGAGAAAAGAAATTAAGTGTTTCTTTTTTTATTTAGGTCTTCGGAGGAATATTTAACGGGTAACGTAACTACGTTCCCTGTTACTCAAAATAAGTGACGTAAGTACGTTAAACGTCACTGCTTTGAAAATGTAACGGGTGCGTTACTAGGTTACTGTAAAAGGTAACGCTTGACCAGTAACGCCGTTACTTGTAGCGCTTTACCGCCAACACTGCTACCCACTAGTTGTTCGAATCATAGCTTCTGACGTATCCGCGCGCTCACATTCCCTCACCATAGCCTCCTCTATACTCACAAAGCCTGGTAGTTCAACGACGGAGCCGCACTGTAGCCATAGAGTGCCCGGTCGCAGATTTGGAGCGCGAGGATCTTGTAGCACACAGCATCAAAGAGCGATTTCTCGGGGATCCTGGACGTCAGCGCACAGCTTTTGCAGCGGCGAGGACTCGAAACATTTTTTTTTTCCAACCCGACAAAAAAAAATTAAAAAAGCGGTAGCGCGAGTAGCGCGAGGAACGCGAGGAGCGCGAGTGGACATCCCATCGCTCGGGAGAAGTGTGTTTCGGCGGCTCGACGCAGCGGGGCGCACGTCACGTGGCTCTCCTCTCATCCGTTGTCTGCCGCTCTACCTCTCCAATTTCGGCGGCCGCTTCTCGTGGCGATCTGCCAGGCTTTGTCGATATATAGAGGAGGCTATATGCCCTCACTTTCTGGGCGTATACGCAATGCGCTGAGAAAGTGAGGGAGAGGAGAAAATGAGAGAGCTTGAGGGCGTCAGAACACCGCGCTCTGGTTCGAATGATTAGAAAGTAGATCTGAAGCTACCAGGCTCCGTTGCACTCGTCGAACGCGTTCGAATGCAAGAGCCAAACGCCGGACGCCGGTGTTCCCCGTTCTAACGCATTCGACGAGTGCAATAGGGACTAACGTTGTCTTTGTCTCCACGGTACTTGTCGAACGCGTTCAGTGCGAAAGCAAAACCCAGAACGCCGGCGTTTTGCGTTCTAACGCGTTCGACGAGTGCCATGGAGACAAAGGCTGCTAGCTTTAGGTATAGGCCCGTAGCTCTCAAGCAGAGCCGTGTATTGGGAAAGTTTGGCCATTCATTGGTTTGAAGAGGCGAGCATCTCGTGGCCAACCGGAGGCTGCGAAACAGCCCCTAGTGGTGGTCGTGAGCTGTAAAGATGTGACTCGACAAATTTAAGCCGTTTTAGCGTCGCTCAAGTAAGAAAGTATAGCTCTTGGTGACTGAAAACTTGGAGCATCTCAAGTTTTTGTCACGTCCATATTCAACGGTAGAATAAAAGAACGCGCGCTCCAAATCAGATCAAACTGCATAGTTGCGATCATAGCTGCTAATTTGTTATTGACGCAATTGTCACCTTGACTGAACGCTTCTATTTTAGCTTTAAATGTCGTTTCCAATATGGCGATGTCGCGGTCCGCTGATTGGTCGACGCTGTGTCGCACTTTTAGTTTACGCTTTCGCCGCGGAAGGAATATTCGGCGCTGGCGGCGGCTATTGCTCCGCCCATTGGCCAAACTCTTCCGATATACGGCTCTGCTCTAAAGTTTCGAGCAGCGCTCCAGGCGAGCAAAATAGAATATTTGTGGCTCGAGTTTCGAACATGCGTCATTACGCTTCCCCATTACAGTTTTTTATACTCCGTTCCATTAGTGCCAGCGTTGCAGAGGCTACAAGCGTGAACTTCGAGCTTTCAGTGTCCCTGCCGAGCATGCGCGTTCGTGCAGTGCGTGCGAGCAACGCTCAGCCGGAGCCGTATGTTGAGAAAGTTTGTTCATTCATTGGGAAGTATAGGAGGCAAATAAGGAGGGACCATTGGCCGAGAGTTGGCTGGGCGTGGTCCAAGGTGTCTTCACAGATTTGAGTGTGGCCAGCCCGAAGACGAGAACAATGCCCTGGCGGTTGTCGCGAGAAACAAAATTATTTAGTGCACTCTCGGTGACTGAAAGTATGGTGCACGTTATTTTTCTATCGCGGTCATGCAAAATCATATGCTAGGAGAACGATCGACGTGATCCGTTCGCCAGGCACCGAGGGCCAAGAAAACGCCGTCCGAGCCGTCAGACTCTGACCGAGCAAAAAAGAGGCCGCATCTCCACGTAGTGAATGTTGTTGATTGAGGCGAAGCTCTGGTGGTTCTGATGATACTG